AAGAGTGTTTACACATACCATGGCGTTAGTATGAATTGGGAATATGAATGCATTGCGATATACATCTAATTAAATGATGTGATATTAAGTTAATTAATCAATTATTATTATTCGGCAACATTTCACTAACTTTAATGTTGTCCTTCTTTGATAATATGTAATCAGATATGGCTTTAGTTTCGGGTTCAGAAAAGGGGGCCTTTCCGTGATATGTCTCCGAACACGGGTAAGAACTACTTCCAGCGCTTCCCCAATGAAAGCCATAGTTTCTAAGTTTTAAATATATTTTTTATGTGATGTAAAGTTTCATTTGGATCTTACTGTTACTTTACCTGTTTGGGTCGACTCCACGACAAAATAGACTATTGAATTAATTATAATTGACATTAAACTAAAATCAGTTCAACAATCATATAATAAGATATTACTTAAGATTATATTTACCCCCAAAACGACGGATTATTAGATCGGGTTTTTCTCCACATTCTGTCCGATGTTCGCGAGTCTATTCATTCAATTAATTAGTTTAATAGCGAGAATTTGTTGCCAAAGTATACAGTATTGTTGCAAAAATGTGAAATTCTCTGCATTCTTGCAAGTATTGAAATTTATAAATAATTGTTAATATTAGACATACATTCATATCCATCGGGATTAGCGCTCGGCATTATGTAGAAGTCGTACACATTTAGCAAATTTTTTATTTCGATATCGGTTGAAGTGATTAACTATTATTTTTAAAATACAAATAAACTTTTTATGTGAAGCCTTATAAAACAAACCTTATTTGCAATGAAAAGAGCAGTGGACGGCGCTATCCATTCTCTCGCGTGAATCCCTATTAGAGACCATTAATTATTAATATTTATAAAATTCATAGTTATAAAAGTGAAACCTTGTTGTCCACAAACCTGCGTCTATCCATATAATGGGTTTTTGAGTGCTATTACTTTTGGTGCCTATTTTGAAGAGTTTTAGTGGTCGACCCTCTGTTGTGGTGCCGA